ACAGCTTCAGTTTATCATATAGTCGTTTGCACAGTTTCCATGTCCTGCTACTGATAATTGGGTGCTAAAAGATAACTATTTATTTATGAACAAYAAAGAACAACTTGACAACATCCTCATTTTAATGCAGTGATGACTGCATGCTTTTTCACGTAAAGGCTAGGATATTAAGACTTTTTTCTTGTAGTATGACTTTAATCTCGTAATATTACGATTTTATTCTCCTAATATTATGACTTTATTCTCGTAATGTTATGATTTTGTTCTTATAATACTTCATTCTCGTAACTTGTAGTTGCATTTTCTTTTATTTAACATCTTATTGCAGCATAAATTTCATCAGATAAATTGCTAAACTTACTTTTAAAAAACAAATCCTTCGGTCCGTGGTAAATTTACAAACTGCGCCGACACGTTAAAAAAATTAAAACACCACCGTCTTCATTTCTCAGTTTATTTTGCTGCCCGCGCATTGAATCCTGRGATATCCTCGGCTGGTAAGGATACATGGATGCATTCTCGGATTTCGACAGGAAGTAGGACGCATTCCTCGGCCGCATGATGAGGAGCCTTCGAATTGGGACAGTCCTCCGCGCGGGGCAATGACGTACGCGGCCGACAAATGCGCACTCATGAGGACCCAGCCCCTGAATTGAGACACAGCCTGTGAAGATGTGCTGAAGTGGGAGTGTCAGAAACGATAGGTTCTTAAAGAGATACAGACCAATATCAAAGAGTTTAAGCAGACTATGATGCAAAGTCAAATTTATTTTTCATAGTCAGCATTTTCATGACAACTAAAGGCAACATAGTCCTTATTTGGTGATCACCACATGTGTTACATCTTTTATCCCTCAGTGTTTACATCTCTACTCTTTGTTTTTATTCACTGAGTGTTTTCATTTTTTAGCTTCAGTTTTACTTCTGGGTTTTGTTTTATTTTTATTACAATCCTGGCTAACCATGCTTCTTACACTCCTTCATTTCAACCTTTCATTATAGTTTCTCACAACAAATAGTCTTTGTTTAGTCTCTTTTGTTGTTTGACATAAACTGTCTTTTTTGCAGATAGCTCAAACCTGATCTGTAATTAACAAAAACTATCCTTAGTATAAAAAAAGGTAAGGAAATGTGTCTTTGGTAGAGTATTTCTTTRTAACAATACTTCCTGATTGGCAGCACCTGGAGCTCAAAACAAATGTCAATAACAACAGTAAAACAAGCTGTTTTGCAGAGTAGATTTGGCTACATTTTCCATGCTCAACCAACATCTCAGCTCWACTGCTCATCCCACAAATGCATGTTCGTTACAAATGTGACAGCACTTAAAAGGGACAATAACAGRGTTTCAAATGGTATATGATTTATTGTTACAACAAAGAAAAAATCTACCAAACCTTTTGTGACAGGGTGATCCTGACCTCAGAGTACCGACCTTAGAGAGGGGCAGGACCAGGAATGCTCCGCCTCCACTGGATTCAACAATGACGGCCAGGAACTTTGGATTGACGGCACAGAAGGAGCTGTCCCACGTCACCTTGGAAACCCGGATGTCATCGTAGCACTGGTCCGCTTTGACCGCCTGGCCAAAGACGTGACGAAACTTGCTCTGCCGCACGATGCTGCGACTCATGGCTGAGGAGGGTGCAAAGAAAGGTGGGAAATTATCGATAAGAAAAAAAAAGGTTGATGTTTTTATATTTGTAATGCTGGTAGAAATCATTTGGAGGTTATGTACAATGTCCAATTTTGCTTTCTACTCAAAATATTTGATGCTTCAGCTTTTTTTTTAACTGAAGCAGCTTTAAATATCCAAATGTGTTAGCTGCTTTAAATACAAACCATTCTCTGTGATTTTAAGCTGCTTGTTGACTGACAGCTGGATGTCCTGCAGCGTTACAGGCAGCCAGCCATCAGGACTGTAATCCTCAAAAACACTGGGGATATTGTATAACAGGGGCCACCATCAGAGGAGATATTAATAGTTGATTGTCCCACCAAACACATGGGAGCAAAACATTAAAAGCAAAATCTCCAAACACATACTGTAGAGCAAATAACATTTTGATTGTTAAAAATGTAAAACTGAATCTAAAAAGGCTTGAGGACATCTGATGGCTGCAGTTCTTCCTATTTTATAAACAGCTGTTTTGTAATTAGAATCAAACCCAGAGGAGAACAAACTATAATAATTTGACTTTTACACTTGAGTATTCAACATGCGACCCAAAAGTGACCTTAAAGACCAGGAGATACATGATCGAGTGATGAGAGGACAGAAGCACCTGCTGCTTTCCTAGAAGCTCTACTTTATCTAGAGATTTACATTCCTGTAAACACTTCCATCGACCGACTGGGGGCCAATCAGGACCCAACAGAACAGCACGTGCTTTTTAAAATGACAAAAGTGTTTGTAGGCTTTCTAACCTTTTGCTCGTGATCTCTTATAAGGCATTCGATGAAACAAAATTCTTCAGAGTAACCCTAGATAAAGATTTTACCCGCTTCTTCAACAAACTTTGATAAAATTTGCGTATAAAAAATTTGCATGATAAAACATTTATGTGTTTTATAAATATATATGTCTACAGTGCTCCTTTTGGTCTTCCACAGAAGATGCATTTATCTATTTAGTATGGCAAGACAGCATTTCATAACAATACCCATATCTAATACATCTTTGTCAAAACAAACATTTTTGCCAACTATCTACAATAAGTGGTTTAAATATCTCAAACACCATTCTTTCTTGGACTAATTACATTTATTTATACTAATTATATATTTTTTCTCATTTATATGTATTTGTCTTCCAGCTTTTTTACACCTAGAATAAGCATAGAGTAAGTCTGAAATGTATTCCTTTGGATATCTGCAATTCCATTTTTACATGTGAAATTTTTAAAATTAGATACCTAAAATGAAAAAAAAAAAGTTCAGATATCACTAACTTAATTTGAATTGTTCTCCTTAAATTATAGTTTAACTGCTTAAAATGTATACTTGAG